AATAATTAGATTTCTTATCTTTGCTGAGTTGGACGGTTATCGCAAACCGGAAATCCTTCGTACCCAACTAGGACAAACTCCTACACAATCAGAATTACGGTCACATAACGAAATCAGCTAGGAGAGGTCTGGGGCAAGACCTCGTCAATTCAGCCATATCATGCTGTCGCACATAATTGCTGATAGCCGAGAAGACGACACGGTGAAACCAGTGTTTCACGTTGGAATTGTTTGTGACTCAACCGATCACGGCGCCAAAATATATTTATTCAGCTCGCGCGAGCGATCCGAATTTTGCCGTTATTCGGTCAAACTGAACAGAGTGCATACTGTTGACTTGTTCCAAGTCAGACCAAAGGAGTGTCCGGTTCTAACCGGGCAACTAATACATTATTTCAAGTCAACAAAGGGACGCGAAGCAGTTATTTGCAGCGATCCTGAATTGACTGCCAATTTACTCATTCACCATCTGAAATTCTTCTAATGACTGTTTGAACGTACCGGTAGAGCTTCTTCTGAAATGACGTGGAGACTCCGTAAACATCCACTTTCCTCTTACTCTAATTCGAAATGCCCTTCCAAAACTTTTCGCCAATTCTTCAGTAGGAAATTCCACTTTTATAAGTAAAAGCCTTGTGTGTGGATGTTGATTTATTAATCTGTGAATATGATGGGTCCCAGGTATTGAAACATCATCTGAATCAGTTCAGAAATTCCCGCATTGCCATAGTTAGGGGATTTTGCTTTGTCCTGGAAGGATATTCACATCGGCACACACAGAATCCCCTGAGTTTATTTCTTACCCTCATACTTGCTCGATCGAAGTCTCTGTTGCACACCCGAAAACTCCTTTTATAACTCTGTCATTGTGGATTTACAGACACCAGTTTACTTCAGCTGGGGTTCTGAGATGACAGATTTTGATGGTGGATCCCAAAAGATCCTAGGTTGGTTGCTGTCAGTGGCCATGTCCGACAGCTCTACCACGTAACAAGACCTACGGTAGAGTGACATTTTCTCTGAAAATGGAAGTATGCCTTTTTACATTCATGCGTTTTGGCGATTAGAAAAAAGATCCGGATGTCACAGATTTGTGTTTGAACACTGTCTATTGCAAAACAACTCGAGATTGCGCATGAGTTCTAAAACCAGCAAATCACGAGTTCCAGTGAACTCGGAGTTGAACGGAAAACAATCCCACCGTCGACAACAAGAGAAGCCATTTTGCGAATTCTCATCAACATTTCGCCCGGTAAGTGAAGCCAGGATGCACTGTACATCTGTTCTACCTTGACTGAGGTTCACTGCAACTGTGGATCTCAAGAAACCTACTCGGAGCCTCTTGGCTCGTTTTCCGAGCACTTGGCCCCTCGTTCTCATACGCCCGTGGTTGTCCATCTGTCATACAGAAGGAAACTGGCATCGAATGGATAAAAGAGCCTTGCATAATTCTGGAAGAGCTGAAATGTGAAATCAAAACGTTAATGTTGGGTTCGGATGAACACGTTTATCTGTGAGGAGATCAGCTACCACTCGTGAATCGTATCCTGAATGGTATTCACATTCAAGGTGCTTCACTTACCACATCCTGGTACAGTATCTTCTGACAAAACAGGTAAATAAATCATTAATTGAGTGAGTATATGGTTGGGTTTTCTAAATATTCGAGGGGATGAGGCAAAAATGACCTTTAGGGGGATGGGTTTGCTGGTAGAATAAGTGTGGACTTTGGTTGGAACAAGTCCCATCACCAAACAAAAACATGTCCGTGGTCACAAAGCTTTGTAATTCACGTCATCGCCAAATTTCATCAAGCCGGTGAACTTTGTCTCCCGTTTAACCGGCAAACCACTTTATATGTATGAGGCAGGAGATAACGGATGACGTCAGATGGTACAGCGTGGAGTACTCTGCACACGCCACTCAGGGACAATCTCATGCTCAAATAACACGGAAAATCCCATTTGTAAGCTTGTATCTATAGTGCTTCCACATTGCAGCATAATGGATTTCAAAAGTAATCAACCGAAAATCGATAACAATTTCACATTTTCAGTGTAGCTTGGTTAACGTACAATAATATCCAAAGTCAGAATCCATTGTATAGCATGAGAGATCCCCGCTTAATTCTTGATTGACAAATTTCGGTCCTATCAAGTTTGGAGTGGACTTTCGTGCATCCCCGGACGGACCCATCCCATGAATAAATCCGGGGAACTCTTTCCATATGTGAGCTGTGTCCACGACCGACTTCTAGATACATATCAAGATTTTCGAAAAGCGCTTTCAGAAAGCCAGTGGAAATGACACAAACGAATTTCACAATATAACTCATCACCTGGGTGAGCGGTTGGCAAGATTGACCCGTAGGTACACACAAAATTTCATGTCACCCTAGTTTGCACAGAGAAAAACATTCGTGTAAATTTCAGAAATAGTCGGTATTTATTCGAAGCACTGAAATCTCTCGCAACCATCGCAGACACTTAAAATTCTCATTCGAGACTGACTCAAGATGGAGATGCACCCGGATATGGCTGTTAAATGATGTCACTCGCGCCCTTGTTTTCAGTCTCTCTCCAGTTTGCCCGAAATAATGCATGGAGATGTGGGCATCTAAGAATGATTGTATTGAGCAACCACTAGTCCTCTCATATTCTACATTTTCTGCTGTATTTCACACCTAATCTTTGAGACAACTTATGTATGTTACACAGGTACGCATCAGCTTTTACCTCTAGCGGCAAGCTGTCACCGATCATGATGATTATTATGGTGACGATGGTGATGACGTTGAATGAGTTGTTCAGATGATTTATTCAACGTTCTTGGACCAAAGACTCGGTAAAACCAACATGACGTCACTTGGAATGCTGCAAACATATACACCTATATCGATTTATAGTTGGAACAATGAGCAGCGGATCAGATCATTGCAGCGTCCAGTTTGAACGGGCTACTAACCAACCATTTCAAGTTAGCTAAATATCCCGAAGTAGTTATTGGCAGTGATTCGGAAGTGGCGGTTGCAAAACATCGTGAAGTATTCCTTATTGATTTCAAAGTTTTATAACGTTATAAACAGGATGGTGTGCTCAGACCTGGTACACTCATTTGTAGGTAGGAGGACGTGGTCGTCATCCAAGTGTTAAGAAATTTGCCATTGAATTTTAGCAAGTGTGGAGGTTCGCGTTTACACATATTGCCTTCAAAGCTCTATTTGTTTCCAACTGTGAAGTGAAATGCGAGCTGACCAGTTTCTCTACACAATCAGTGGTTTTTCCACTCAGACTGTGCCTAATCGGTGGAATTGTGGAATTCAGAGCAAACTCATCACTGGTCCACATGTTAATCATGATTTAGCGTTACGGTATGCTGTGAGCAGTGTCAACTCCCGTAATTGTGAACTCATTCAAGCGAGGGAAGGGAACCGCCACAATGGTGGGTGTGGAGTTTACTGCCGAACGCATTAAGATCGGCCAAGGTCAGCTTCCTTTCCTCAGAGTCAGCGAATCATTCACGCCCTCTACTACATACCCCAAGCTGGTGTTACCGCTAGCTCCTTCAGGGACCTGCCATATATCGGTTTTGTCCGATTTGTTTAGATGGACAGGATCCTGAGACATGCTGTTACTTTCTGATATCGCGGTGTCTCCAGCCGCTTGGCGATTGGTGCACAAATGTTTCCGCAGTAAGCTAGATGTCTTTCGGAGAAGGCGGTCGTGAGCTGCTGGAAAATTATCAGCTTCGCTGAAAGAATGACCGACAGCTCCACCACGGAAAAGACGTACGGTAGAGTGACACATTCTCTGAGAATGGGGGTATGTGGCTTTGCTTCCGTGCGTTTCCAGGTAAGAAAAATGATCTGGATGTCACAGATTTCTGTTTGCACTTTGTCTGTTACAAAACAACTCGAGATTACGCATGAGTTCTAAAACCAGCAAATCGCGAGTTCCAGTGAACTCGGAGTTGTACGGAAAACAATCCCACAATCGACAACAAGAAAAGCGTTTTGCGTATTTTCATTAACATTTCATCCGGTAAGTGAGAAAGTGATACCAGCAGCACAATTCCGCGAGTTTATAGAACCCACCATATACCAAGAATCGCGATGAAATCTTCGTTGGCAAAATGACGGTTGCAACAAGTTTAGCGTAGACATACGTGTTTCCCCGGACGAGCCAACCACAGTATATCGCCGATATCTAGTGGCAGATCACAGCCGATGTTTGCAGCTTATAACTGCAGCACAACGTGCGAAGCTTGACCAATGCCACATGAAAGCATTCCGTACATAAATAGCATTGTGTTTAAGGATCCCGTTGCAATCACATATGTTGACCTGAAAATAGTGAAATCATCTAGTTTAAGCTAGGTGACGTCCAAGGTTAAATTCTCAAATTGGTCCCCATATTCATCTGGTTAAACACGGTGAGTAGCTTGTAGTGATTCACATGGTGTTTACGCCCCCAAGCAACAATCTCACAAGATCTCGTCATAATCAGAGAGGGATAAATTTACCTCCAAACCAGGGCTTTTCTCGTATAAATTTAGAGTATCTATCAGAAGGAATTGCGTAGATGAACACCACAAATTAACCGGACATCTGGGCGAGTGGTAATCACTCCCTACCCTTAGGGACACAATGAAAATTTCATGGAACACCAGATTTAACATAGGAAACAATTTGAATTTCTTTTAGAAAATGACATTATTCATCCGGAGACCGAAATCTTCCCTCATAGATCGCAGAATTTTAAAGCTCTTTTTTGAAAACAAATCAATTTGGATATAATGCAGGACATGGATTTATTAGGCGTTACTGGTGTTCATGTGGTGAGTCTCTCTCCAGGCTGCCTTGATAAATGCTAGCAGGTGTAGGTACCTGCGAATGATTGAAGTGAACCAACATTAAGCCAATCATTGTTGGAGAGGCTGCCGGATAGGTTTGTTAATTGATGCCCTAGCGTTCATGTTGTCATTATCACTCCAAGCTGCCTGAATTAATGCATGGGTATGTAAGCACCTAACTGTAGCCAGCTAGCACGCTGTGCTTTCATTGACTTCACCTATTGCTTTTTCAACAGCTAGGCTTCCAAAAAAATCATGGTTGTACCTTAGCGTAAAAATTAACGCACATAGATTGAAGCCACCACCAGACGCCCACAATTCGAAATGCCCACGATGCTGATGTAGGCATCGTGATATCATCGCTTGCTGATCAATCTACAAAAGAAAATCTTACTACGCGCAACCCGATTCCAAAAATTGAAAATAAAGATTACAGAAATCTGGTGGACTATCGGAGCAACATTTAAATCGTCCAGATCCTTGGAATTTATGAAAACTAAATCCATAGCGAAAAGTAAATTTTTTGTTTCAAGGTTTCGCCTGGGGACTCGGTCGCTGCTCAGTACAATCTGGAGAGCATGCTCAACTGAATGATCCACATTGTCCTAAAGGGCACCACAAATCGCCAATTTGAACACATTCCTAGAAAATATTGCGCAACTTGTCAGCCCTTGGACAGGATGATACAAACGGTCGATGTAACCCTGGTTAGCAAAAACTTTGTACCGCAGTTCTATTAGATTATGGTGGATAGATTTTCACACAATCGCGTTACATGTGTAAGGCAAAGTCCGATTTAGAAGAGGCTCATAGTATAAAAATCCGGACAGATGAATCTTTAAACAAGACTGGACCTGATGCGCCGTTGTCTGCTTCTTATTGCGTTCTTGTTCTGCGTCGCCCATGTTGCATTTGTGGAAGTCGCCGGTGTCCACTATTTGTCAGCGATATTTAACAACGAACCGTCAACTAACTGGGCCCTCCTTATTGCTGGTTCTAAAACATGGAGAAGTTATCGACATCAAGTACGTCTCAGTTGGAGTTTCACTGTTTTTATTGCCCAATGTTCGTCTAAATTCCACATGAAATTGTTTTCGAACAAACAGTTGTGTTCTACCCAATTATCTGTATGGTTGTGAAGATGGTTGATCAAATCCACAACCAAAGGATGCACATCAATTTGCCTATATTCGATTTAGTTAGCATGTTCCTTGTCGTGCTACGATATTTCAGAAATCTCAACAAAACCGTTTACGTTGCAGCGACATTAGTTGTTAACTCAAACGGGTCATTACCGATTCACCGGAAATTACATGTAATGTGAGGAAATATTTCTTGGATACTTGGTAAACTCAAGTAGTGTTTATTTGAAATAAACACATCACTGTGATTGAATTCACCAGTTTGCCCGTGCCGTATTTGCGAGGGGTCATGTGAAAATCGTATGCAAATCGGTTACGCATATTGGATTTGTCAGTAGCCAATAATAAGGTCCAGCGAGTGCCGATTTCATCGTTCCCACACTTGGTCCACACAATCCCTGGAAGCCTGGAACCCTGCTACCGGTACCTAGGCCCCGTATTTTAAAACCCTCGGGAAG